TCGGACATGTTGCTGGAGCCGACCATCTTGCACCAATTCCTCAAGGTGGTCTTTCAAAGCATAGCAACTGTCCGTATCATGGCCGTGATCTTTGTGATAGTCACATCGCCTATCCTGCCTTCTCGTGTCGGGAGGTCCCACCATTTTGGACGGCCATTTGAAGAATGAAAGATGTTGGATTTTGGACATAACCGAGCTGATTGGCTCTGACAGCTCCGTATATTTCTTGTCGGCGCAATTTGTGCACCTACTATCAACTTGCAGTTGCTCGTTTGCTCGGTGTGAGCATTGATCCCTTGATCGGCGAGAATCCCGTTTCTTGTCTCGTTTAGTCCGTTGTCGTGGTTCGGGGCTCTGAGGTGGTACGGAACTTGTTGGCTGAGCAGTTTCAAGAGGGGCCGTTTTGTTGGCCATGTGTCCGGCTTTAACCCACAAGGCGTCATCTTCCACTTTGCAGTATTCCTCTACTTTCTTCATCAACCCCTAGACCATTTTGGGGGGTTTTCTACTCAAGGAACTACGGTGGGCACTATCTGGATGTAATCTCATTTTGAAGGCGGTGATGGCCATGGAGTCATTGCAAGCGTCATCAACAAGATTAAAGCATTCCCAATATCGCGCTGAATATGCTCTTAGTGTTTCTCCTGGCAGGATTTTCATTGCCCAGAGAGAGTCGGCCTGTTTTGGCTGGACCTCGTTTGGCTGGACCTCGTTAGTGATGAATCTGGCCCTGAAGGATTTCTTTAATTGGTGGAAGGTTTTGATCGAAGCCGGCTCCAGTTTATAATACCACCTGACAGCCAATGGTCCCAAACTGCTGGGAAATATCCGGCATATGAGGGCCTCGTCGTCTGCATACAATGTCATGGCTTGCTTGTAGTGGCGGATGTGGTCGGTGGGGTCTGATTTGCCGTCGTACAAGGTGAATGACAGTGCTTTGAATTTCTTGGGTAGTACTGCCTTTGCGATCCGTCGTACGAATGGGTCATGTTGATCTTCGTCCGAGCTGTTCCTTCTTCGCTTGTGCCTTATACGGGGACTTTCTTCAGAAGAACTGGTAGTTTCAAGTCGCCCCTTCTTCCTGGGCTCTGGGGATAACGAGTCGGAGTCGTTATCAGTGTCGTCCTATCGGGCTCGAGGTTGTTGACCACCTGCCTTTGGAGATCGTTCCAGATTTAGGCGTACAGCTTGTTTGGACTTCGCCATTTCCAAGGCCAAATCTCCACGAAGACGTTCGTTTTCTGTGATCATGTTCTCCAACCTTTGTTCGTTTTGCTTTGCTTGTTCCATGATCGCTTGCATTGCTTCATGCTCTGGAGTCGAGGGTGAGGCGAAGTTTAGAGTGCGTCTTACGGGGATGGTGTCTGGTCCAAGCCTGCTTGGTGGAGTGAGGTCGTCTCTCTGCGTGGTTTCATCAGTGACTATTGGAGGGTCCTCCGTCACACTCGCCATGGATATGCTTGAGTATTCCCACAGACGACGCTAATTGTGGACAAGTGGTTTGGAGATACTCTTCTGATCCTGGGGGACGCTCGTGATCTGCTGATAGTCACCTAAAAAGGAATAAACACTCCGGTCGGGGGTGCCGGAATTAGCACTCCGACGGACAAGTCAGTCTCAACACTCAAGATTACTTATATTCTAAATTAAGCACAACAATTCTCACCTGCTACTCTCTGATGGATGATCCCATATTTATAGTATTTTCTTTGGGCCTTTGGGCTGGGCCCATCCTTGTTCCGTCACATGTACCTCTACTCGGCGTCAGTTCTATTGGCTGGGATACTGGTTATTTTATTCGGCTCCTTAACTAGCTGGGGTATATGCCGAATACAGGTTACGTTTCGGACCGGACACGCTCATCCGTTCCTATGGATGTAATAAAATCCGGCTCCCACAATAATTCATTCAGGAACAAAAGCATATTTGAATGGGGTTAATGATTCCATTGAGGATTGATCTTGTTTCTCTTAGCAATGATTTTGGCAAAGCACTTATAAAAAATATTGCAACATGAGATAGGCTCCATCATATTTGGACATTGCATGGTCGGTATAAGTGTTATAGATGTAGGCATTAATTTCTCCTAAAAGCTTATTTGTATCAAAGAAGTTGTAGCTCTTCCTGTGTTCTTTGGCAAGTTGTCTTATAAAGTGGTGCATTAAACTTGTCAAGCCACAGAACTTTGTCATTTTTTAATGAGAAAAAGTCTCTTGAATTTTGCTGATAAGGGGAAAAAAAAAAATCTATTCAATTTCCTCTATAATCACATCCCTGCCTATAAGGGAAAAAAAATCTATTCAATTTCATTTTCATTATGATTTATTCTAAACATTTTCCTTATAATAGTGTAAGTACCTTTTGATTATGTAATTCTATCTAGATATATAACCTGTTTCATATACTAACCATTAAAGCTTCATTAATTTGTTTAGGACCATGGAACTATTAGTTGAGTATTGAAAGGGTAAGGAGTCTATGAAAATCAACTAAAACGTTTTGTTTATAATGTTATAGAGAATCAAAATCAACTAAAACATTTCTAATACCAAAATTATAAATTCTGTGTTAATGGAAGCTTAAGCAGAAACATCTATAAATTTTCAAGTTGAGGATCTTGCTCGGTTATCGTTAATACAACTCCTGTCTATATTGATGTGGATGATGGGCGGAAGAAGGTAAATTGACCATTGGAATTTATTCGTATAGAGTCCATTTTTTTATTTACTTTTCTTTAGGTATGGATGCATTTTCATATAATCTACAAATCAAAGTAGTCATTGCTCCACTAAAAAATCCAAAATACATAAAAAGCCAATATTAATTCTCTTTCTTTCTTGTGCTTAACTCCAGCAAGTTGCGCAAGACAATTTTAGAGCTTTCTGTACCATCCCAGTTGGTAAATTGACCTTTGTTGTTTTTTTTTTGGACATATAATTCTCAGAAATTTGCAACATTAGAGATGCCTATGTTTCTTTGTTGAATTGGCAAAGAAGCATGCTACTGTTAGTTGGGAGTGGCTCGTTGCTGCTGTGAATTTTGGGGCACCAAAAACAACACCAAAATCAGCACCAAAAACAACACCAAAATTAGTATGAAAAACAGCTCTGCAGCACCCAAAAACAGCACCAAAATCAGCTCTATAGCAATAACAATTAGCAGCAACAACACTCAGTAACAACTAACAGTTAGTAGGGTGAAAAAGCCAAAACACATATACAAAGGTCTTTCCACCCTGCACATCCTTCACTCTAATCCTAATAAAACTTAAAATTATTTTAAGAGCCTATAAATCCAAGTACTTCTTGGTTTAATTCTTTATATAAAACATATTCTCGCGAGCATTAAGATTTCCACAATCACGCAACACATCATCGTGGTTTGTGGTGTTATAAAATGTGGATTTCAAGGCACCCAAATAGATCCAAAGATATCAAATTTAGCACAAATCAGTAAATGCACTACTCCTAGAATATATATATATATATATATATAGTACATACTAAATGTAACATGCATCGTAACACGATCATCTAGGTCCCAATGTGCAATTGACATCCTACGACATGGTTCACATTCGACATCTAATTAACAACTAAAAGCAAATATTCCTAACCCAACCGTTCCCTTGAACCCATACACAACACCCTACACATCGAATATATCAAAACACATCAACCATCACAATGTCAAATACACACATTTAATCAAAACATTGGTCAAAATGTGCCTATCAATAAGTGTAATAGATTGTCAATGCTCTATTAAAGATGAATAATTTACACTTCAACAAACAAAAAATCCAAAAAAAAAAAAAAAAAAAAACATTTTTCCCCCCAATCTCATGTCTCTCTAAACAGGAATGGCATTTAAAAAACAAATATTTCTTGTAGTGAACTTCAGATGCACTAAATATTAAATTTCATTCCAATGAGAAGAAAAGTGACGGTTGCTAATTATAATATTGGAGTCATCTTAAATGAGATTCACCCCTTCCCAAGGGTTGCTAAGAATAAAACAACCTTGTTTCTGATTCGTTTTGATTCCAAATATGTTTCGTGGATTGGACTTCTACATAATATGCAGAATTTGGGCGTGGGCATTGTTCTGATTCCATAAAATTTTCACCTTGTTCTACATAATATGGAAAATTTGAGATATGGACACTCAGATCTTTTGTTATTGATGACATTGAAATAATTGAAGCAGACTGAACACAATCTTTGTCCATCTATTAAACAAAAAAGCAAGGATGAATACATCTTTCTTTTCTCATTGGATATGAGATTGAAACAAGGATGACTTCATGATTTTGAATTAAGAAATACCAATAATTAGCTACGTACAATTTAAGATCTTCTGGAATTTGAATTGCCTCATTTTTATTTTTATTTTCATTTTCATAACACTTGAATTGAAGGCAATGATTCATAACCTATGAACTGCTATGCTGTCACCTTGACACCAGTAAAAGATGATGAGACAATGTCTTCCTACGAAATCCTAGACAAATCATCTACATAAATCTGATAGACTCAGTCTAAGTGCAACAAACAATGTTAAGGGAAATGCCGTCCACATGCAGATAATTCAGTAGAATGATTCATGATCCATGAAATAACAGAACACACCCAGTACGAAATAAAATAGAATAAAAAACACACGACGACTAGTGTAAACACACCCAGATAATTCAATTTCATTTTCATTATGATTTATTCTAAACATTTGCCTTATAATAGTGTAAGTACCTTTTGATTATGTAATTCTATTTAGATATATAACTTGTTTCATATACTAACCATTGAAGCTTCATTAATTTGTTTAGGACCATGGAACTGTTAGTTGAGTATTGAAAGGATAAGGAGTCTATGAAAATCAACTAAAACATTTTGATTATAATGTTATAGAGAATCAAAATCAACTAAAACATTTCTAACACCAAAATTATAAATTCTGTTTTTATGGAAGCTTAAGCAGAAACATCTATAAATTTTCAGGTTGAGGATCTTGCTCGGTTATCGTTCATACAACTCCTGTCTATATTGATGTGGATGATGGGCGGAAGAAGGTAAATTAATCATTGGAATTTATTCATATAGAGTCCATTTTTTTATTTACTTTTCTTTAGGTATGGATACATTTTCATATAATCTACAAATCAAAGTAGTCATTGCTCCACTAAAAAATCCAAAATACACAAAAAGCCAATATTAATTCTCTTTCTTTCTTGTGCTTAACCCCAGCAAGTTGCACAAGACAGTTTTAGAGCTTTCTGTACCATCCCAGTTGGTATGATCTTTCTACAAATGTTGTTGAGGACCTTTGTTTTTTTTTATTTGGACATATAATTCTCAGAAATTTGCAACATTAGAGATGCCTATGTTTCTTTGTTGAATTGGCGAAGAAGCATGCTACTGTTAGTTGGGAGTGGCCCGTTGCTGCTGTGAATTTTGGGGCACCAAAAACAACACCAAAATCAGCACAAAAAACAGCACCAAAATTAGCATGAAAAATAGCTCTGCAGCACCCCAAAACAGCACCAAAATCAGCTCTATAGCAGCAACAACACTCAGCAACAACTAACAGTTAGTAGGGTGAAAAATCCAAAACACATATACAAAGGTCTTTCCACCCTGCACATCCTTCACTCTAATCCTAATAAAACTTAAAATTATTTTAAGAGCCTATAAATCCAAGTACTTCTTGGTTTAATTCTTTATATAAAACATATTCTCGCGAGCATTAAGATTTCCACAATCACGCAACACATCATCGTGGTTTGTGGTGTTATAAAATGTGGATTTCAAGGCACCCAAATAGATCCAAAGATATCAAATTTAGCACAAATCAGTAAATGCACTACTCCTAGAATATATATATATATATATATATAGTACACCAAAATTAGCACACACAATTGTATCGGCTAAAAAGCATTGCCGGCAGTTTTTTTCAGGGCAGATCAGCTCTTTATCTATTACATCATTCAAACCACAAAAGAAATAACTCCATCTGTTACATCATATCACACTTCCCACCTTGGGGCAACAGACCACTCATCAGAAAATGATCCATGAAATTATCCCTAAACCTTGAACATTTTCTTTGAACCATCTAATTTAGGTACCAAACCATAACAAGAACTAAATATTGAAGAAGAACAAATGGAATGTTACTTATCAAATAGAAAAGCATATGAATAAATAAATAGGAATGCCAGTTGCATGATATGATGATTAGTAGTAACTGCACCTGGAAAAATAGTATTTGTGCCACCAGTCAAAATTTGAAATGCAAGAGCTATTAATGACTGTTTAATTGGGGAAGCAGAACTAGCTCAATATTTTTTGGCTATCCTCAACATGAGTGATGAATACAAGCAATGGTCAAAATTGTCTACCACTGCGAGTGAAAAATTATCAGATGACAAAGTCAAAACTTCAATTAACTTTGAGTTGGACAAGAGATGGAAGCAGTATGCTCCAGATCACACACAGGTACAAACATTTCAGTGATCAACTTATCATGTAATTTGAACAATTTATATTACTGAATAAGGCAGATAAGTAAATCTTTACAATGTTTCTTTTTTCCCCATATAAAATCATTTTCTGCAGGAAAATAAAAAAATAAAAGATTGTTTTCTAAAATCTAAAGTTGGTAAATGAAGGATATGACTCTCTTCAGTAGAGAAATGTGGTAAAACAACTTCAACCCAATTCTTAATAAACAATAAACCAGAGATCAACTTATTTGTGGGTATGGGAATATCTTTCTACCATCTGGAGCAATATTCCCGTGTTTGAAACTTTTTGAAGACTTTGAAGGTTGTGTTTAAGTTCTCGCTGTGAATTTTTAATGGGTTTTTATTGTACTTCATCAAATTGTGTAATAGGCCATGGAGATTAAAGAGAAAATTATACGATTTGATGTAGTATATGTGTTTTTCTTGAACCTCACCATATTTGTGTAAAGACACAATTGGGTATTTTTCATTCAGTGAAGAAAAGAAATAGGAAATCAAAGTAAAATCTTGCAATAGAACCTATTATGGGTTCAATTAAAATAAGTACTATAAGATGATGGATGAGTGAGATTGTGCTTGTCTATGCTTGTTGGTATTTAATTTAGTTTGAATGAACTTGCAATGCAAGTTTTGTTTCAACCCAATACATTTTGAATGTTGCCATGTTTGCCTATGATTTGATTAAATCAAATATTTGAGTTTTTTTATTTTATTTTATTTTATTTTATTTTTTTATGTTTTTCTCTTTGTAATTCTTTATTGTAAAAAAGCTCATAAATTGTTTTTTTGATATTGTTTTAGGTATTGGGGAGGGAGTCTGTGCACTCTAAGGCAGTTGAGAAGAAGCAAGACTCTACAAATCAGGTTTGGAGCAACAAACCTGGAGCTCAAGGCTAAACCTGCATCTTCTTTTGAATACCGTGTCATTTTGATGATTGATAGTGCTTTTGTAGAGATCTATTTGGTTCGGTTCATCTTTATGGATGATTTATTATTTTCTAGACTATAATAATCTTGCAGTAGTTTATATAGCCTTTATGAAGATCAACTTTCATTACTGATTTTCTTAATTAGGCAGATTTAGAATGTTTAACTCAAGCACCCTTATTTGTGAAGGTAGTTCACTCCATTTGAAAAAGGTTTAAACTTAACAAAGTAGTTTCTTTCTTTCTTTCATTTTTATTTATTTTTATTTTTTAAACATGAAGACAAAATAATTCCAGTTAACCCATTTAATAAAAGGATTCCAAATTCCACTTTGGATTAATTTAAAACAGTTGGTGGAAACTGTTTGTTTTTTAACCAATTAGTCTAGGTTGCAACCTTGACTGAGATCTGTTTCTTTTGCAAATTTTTTAAAATTTGGTTTATTGGTATTGTTTTGGGGTTTTCTGCGGTTAGAATTTTTGCTAATTCTTCTTTTTTTTAGACACTATACCTCGAAGCAGTGAAGGTGAAAATCAAAACATACCTAACAGGGACATGAGTCCTTTTTATAAGGAACAAGGTCATGTTTGATTCACAACACTAATAGTGAGGTATTAATAATCCTATTAAATTAGTGTGGTATTAGTTATCCCACCCCTACCCCATTACTAATAATCCTACAAATTTGTTGGATTAATTATCCATTGGATTAATAATCCTAAACTAAAATGTCAAAACAAACATAGGATGATTGGGCCCACGGATTAATAATCCCAATCCTATGCTTTAATCCTTCCAATCAAACATGCCAAAAGAGTACAATTGTGTGACCTCAGCTCATCGATATATTATGGCGATCAAGACATCTATTCTTAACCTCAGACTACCCAACGTTCTGGGTACTCAACGGTGAGTGTATGCTATGCAACTCAAGAAGCACGATAATTTTGCTAATATTCAATTTACGATATCTCTAGATTAGTAGTAGGAATAATTTGGATTGTTAAGAGGTATGAACTTAGACACTTCCAACATGCATACAAGCACAAAAAAGCAGCTTTAGATTAGTAGTAGGAATAATTTAGATTCTCTTTATGTTTTCTTTTACTCATTCTTCAATTATTGTTTCACTTAGATCTCTGCTTTTTCTCTTTATTTATTTTTTATTTTTTTGTTTTGATAAATGTAAGTTTGAAGCAATGTTGTAAGAGTAGCAAGCTTAGATGGTTGAATTATTTTAGACCAGCCATCAAAAGAGGTAACATATCCTCACTACAACAAAAAAACATTTTTAATAACATTTTTTAATATCATTCTTCTTAAAATCTGATCAAATATAATGCATTTAGCATCAGATGACATGAATGTATTTTTTCTAACAAATTTATATTTTATTGGCAACAGGATTAGTTGCGCTAGCTATTGTCGCAAGTTTAGGTGCCTTAGCACATACATTGGGCATCCTCGTCCCTATGATAGGAGCAAGTGGATTTGCTACCGCTGCAATTGCTATAGGAACTGTTGCCGGTAGTTTTAGATAATCTCTTAATAGTTTTGGATATGTTTATATGCATAGTTTTGGATGGTTTAAACTTTTTGGACAGTTTAGAACTTAATGATATAGTTTGTGAATGTTTGAAATGTATAGACAGTTGTTGAATGTTTATAATTTATGGATATAGTTTCTTTTTGATGTTTCAAATAATATTTTGGCAGTTGATTGATATTTTGTGAGACTTATTTGTAATATTTGTTAGATTGTACAGAATTGGTCAAATAGAATCTGTTGAATTTAAAAAAAAAAATTGTATATTCTATGGCAGGCATAATAAATCGTTGTATTACATATTTTACGGCGCGCAATCAGCGTTGTTATTTGTCTCACCAATTAATGGCATGCAAAAATAGTCGTAGAAAAAGTAACAATGCCGCACAAAATTTGCCGTTAAATAGTTTTTAGGGAAAATTAGTCTAGGGTCCTTCCCTTACTTTTCGTAATGGAAGAGATTTACAAAATTATTTTTTGAGGTCTAAGGTCCCTAAACATATATCAGAGAAATTTGACACTTTGCCCACAATTCCTCTCTCTCTCTCTCTTCGACTTCGCGTTGTTGATTTTTCATCAGATATGGCCGAGCCTAGCAACAATAACATTGCGTCTTCTTTTTCTGCTGCTATGCCTATGGAAATAGCCATTGATGGATCCGGCTCCGATGAGTGATAGTCTGAAGTGAAGCACCAAGATGAGGTGGAGATGGTATCGGCATGAACCGATGGTAGCCAGAGCTATCGCGACGTTAATGGTAACTGAAGCTATGACCGCTGATGGTGTGCAAGGTGGCTTGGGCTTCGATGATGACGACGACCCCTAGAGTGGCAGCCATGGGCTATGAGCAAGCTGGGTTTTGCCCCTGTGGAGAGAGAAGGTAATAGATAGAGAGATCATGCATGTGTCTTACAAACAATGCTGTCTCTCCCACCCGAGAGAGAGAGAGGTCTGGGTTTGTGTCTATTCATCTGAACCTCGGTCGCTTGGTTTCTTGCTTCACCTGAACAACAGCATTGTCCATGGTGGTTTTAAAGGATTTGCTTGCATGTGATGGATGGTCTCGGGCTAGAGAGAGAGAGGAGGCCACTTGAATTTTTGAAAACCAATTTTATTCATAACCTAACAAAGTGGAAGATTTGAAATCACAGCTTCAAATTCAAGATTCTAATAATTGTACCAATTTTCTCTAGGCTTGGGAAGTCCATAATTTATCAATTTTCTCTGGTTTGAAAATTGGTCAAACTGAACCTAGAGAAATTTGAATTTTCTCTGTGATTGAATCATTTATACAATGCCTGTGCTGTAGAACGATTCTGTTGTGTCCATGCATTTTGGCGTTGTTACTCTTCCTTTCACCAATATATATATGCATGCTCCTATATTGTATAGTCTCTCATTTAGTTATCCTTCCATCTAGTAACTTATTTTACCTATGATGTATTTGGTAGGCAGTGGATTTGAAGTTATGAGTTGGAATAATTTAAATTATTTGTGATCACTATACTAGGTTTTTTGAAACCTTTAACAGTATCATGAGAATGAAACTGTGTATAGTAAGCAAAATGTGAGTATTCTAAGAACATCACTTTCCTTGATCTCCCTTGATAAGTTTCAGATTTTCACCAATATGCAGAGTCATTGCCATCTTGGCCAAATATCAAATATTTGTGTTGTTTTGTTATGACTATACCCAGATCCAGATTGGATTTTCCTATAATTGATTTGCCCTGAATAGAGAGAGAAACTGGAAAAGGCCTATAATGTATTGTACATACACTCAGTTCTCACTGATAATCCTTGGAAAATATACAAATGTAGAAAAGTTTTCACCTCGTGCATGGTTTGGTTTCTGAAATTGTGAAAGAAAGAAAACATATGATCAATGTGCATATATATATATATATAGATTGTTATAACTAGTTACAAAAATGATAATTTTCTCTGGATTAATGGTATTTATCACTGTGTCTTCATTTTCTTAATGCATGTGTTCGATTTTAATTCTAATTATTTGTGTGTAATCCACCAATGCACTGCTCTAGAGTTTCTAAACATTCTTCTCGCCAACATTGGTTGCCTTTTTGTCAAGACCATAAGCAATGGCAGCGGCAGTGGGTTCATTGATGATACGCATCACATTGAGACCAGCAATTACACCAGCATCCGTTGTTGCCTCACTACTATTGGTGTTAATAATGGGTTTGTGAAGAAGACTTGACTGTTTTATTAATACAACTAGTATAAGCACTACTATTGGTGTTCATGTATAGTGGAGAATTCACTGGATATTCACATTCCATCAACACTGCTACGGTTTCAACATAGGGAAACTCCCATGGCCATGGCCATTCACCTGAACTGAATTTTCTCTGGGTTGAAACCAGAGAAATTATCTGGTTTTTTAACTGAATTTTCTCTGGGTTGAAACCAGAGAAATTAATTCTTGAATCGGGAAAATTCAGTTTAAAAACCAAAGAATTTCTCTGGACCATGTAAACAAACCCATGGTGGTAACGCTGTAAATTCAAACAGGTGAAGAAATTATGAAAATATTGAGTAATTTTCTCTGGACCAATTTTCTCTGGACTAATGGTATTTGAATTTCAATACTACTGCATATATATCACTGCGTCTTCATTTTCTTAATGCATGTGTTCGATTTTAATTCTAATTATTTGTGTGTAATCCACCAATGCACTGCTCTAGAGTTTCTAAACATTCTTCTCGCCAACACTGGTTGCCTTTTTGTCAAGACCATAAGCAATGGCAGCGGCAGTGGGTTCATTGATGATACGCATCACATTGAGACCAGCAATTACACCAGCATCCTTTGTTGCCTCACTACTATTGGTGTTAATAATGGGTTTGTGAAGAAGACTTGACTGTTTTATTAATACAGCTAGTATAAGCACTACTATTGGTGTTCATGTACAGTGGAGAATTCACTGGATATTCACATTCCATCAACACTGCTACGGTTTCAACATAGGGAAACTCCCATGGCCATGGCCATTCACCTGAACTGAATTTTCTCTGGGTTGAAACTAGAGAAATTCTCTGGTTTTTTAATTGAATTTTCTCTGGGTTGAAACCAGAGAAATTCTCTGGTTTTTAAACTGAATTTTCTCTGGGTTGGTCCAGAGAAATTCTTTGGTTTGTAAACTGAATTTTCCCGATTCAAGAATTTCAGTATTATGGAGATCCAGGTAGATTTCGGCAAATCATCACAAATCTCATGGGTAATTCAATCAAGGTAAGTATGCATCAGCTTCTCAAATTTCAATCCAACAACCCAAAGAAAATTCAGACCAACCAAACCAGAGAAATTCTCTGGACCAATCCAGAGAAAGTCCAGAGAAAATTCAGTTCAGACCAAAGAAAATTCAGTCTAAACCAAAGAATTTCTCTAGACCATGTAAACAAACCCATGGTGGTAATGCTGCAAATTCAAACAGGTGAAGAAATTATGAAAATATTGAGGAATTTTCTCTGGACCAATTTTCTCTAGACCAATTTTCTCTGGATCAACTTGAGGGACCTTAGACATTATGAAAATATTGAGTGTCCTTTATGCTGTAAAGTCTTAATACCAGGGACCTGAAAAAAAATTCCCCTAGTTTTTAACTGTGTACGAAACATGTTGTTGAAAGTGAATGACTTTCCATGACTGGTCATAATATGAGCGCGTTGCACGTCGTAGAAGGGTTTTTACGGCATGCATTGCGCGCTGTAAAAACCCTTTTTTGTTGTAGTGAAAGTTGTTGGAGCATTTGTGACGCAAAATGACATAATGAGAAACTCGTAGTGCCCGTAACATGTTTTGAAGGTAGTCTTTTTGATGCTTTCCATTTTAACTTTTAGTTGATGAGAGTCGGAACGCTAATTGATTTTCGAGAATACTTGGGTGCCTTGAAGTTGATCGAACAAGCCATCGATTCGTGGAAGGGGGTACCAATTCTTGATGGTGACCTTGTTCAATTCTTGATAATCCATACACAATCTCATGGTACCATCCTTCTTCTTTACGAACAGTATTGGAGCTCCCCAGGGCGAGGTACTTGGTCGAATGAAGCCTTTGTCCAGTAGTTCTTGGAGTTGGGTCTTCAGTACTTTCAATTCTGTTATTAACATGTGGTAAGGGGATTTTGATATTGGTTGTGTACCAGGTTGAGTTTCAATGGTGAATTTGATTTCCCGGTCAACGGGGGTACCAGGTAAGCCTTTAGAAAAGATATTTGGAAATTCTCAAACCACAGGAATCGAATCAAGTGTGGGGGCCTCTTGTTGAGTATTGATCACATAATAGATATAATTGCAAGAAACCTTCCTTAGAAGTCGTTGGGCTATCATAGAGGATATAACACATGGAGAGGTGGAAACTCCAGTTCCATTAAAGACAAGCTCGAGTTGGTTTGGTAACCGGAGGGAGACCTTTTTGGCTTTGTAATCGATAGAGACGTGATTGGCAGCCAGCCAATCCATTCCTAAGATCACATCAAAGTGACCAATGTGGTGGGGAATCAAGTCTTCGTATAAGGTTTCCCCTTTTATGGATATACCACAAGATTTGTACATTTCAATACCAAGGACAAAATTACCAGAAAGAAAGGATACAGACAGTATATATCCTAAGGGTTTGGGTGTTGATGCTAACTTGGAAGCAAAGTGTGGTGTAACAAAAGAATGAGTTGAACCAGAATCAATAAAGACATGAGCTAAATGACCACAAACAGAAAGTGCACTTGACACAATATTCTCGGTAACCTCTGGGTTTCCAGGCACCCAGGTGAAAGCTCTTCCTTGGCGTTATTTTATCATTCCTTACTCCTCCAGGTACTGCAGGTTTTGGGGCTTGTTCAAAGGGGCTTGCGATAGGATTGGTAAACTTTGGACAATCTTACAGCAAGTGGCCAACTTGATTGCATTTAAAGCATGTTCTTGTGCTTCGATGGCATTGTCCCCAATGAGCCTTCCCACACGTAGGACAATTTGGAATGGTGCCACTTTTGGGTTAGTAAGACCTTGATTGCATGGACTAGTTGAGGCTGTATTTACCCTTTTGGAGGGCGCACCACCAGATCTTCTGTGGTCCCTTTTCCAAAATCGCTTCT